AGGCGCGTCCTGCTGAGCCCTCACCGGGCAGCCCTGGCAGAAGGCCCGGCAGTGAGCAGCGTGCTCCAGGCCACGCTGTGCTGGAATGGCGAGGGAACAGGGATTTGTCTCAGGCAGCGAAACTGGGACCTGAGGTCCAAAGAGCTGCTGACACCAGCTCTGCCAGGCCAGGTGTTTTGTTGGATGCTATGGGACCATCAGGACAAACCGCTCAAGGTGCCTGCAGGAGCTCTGGGGCTCTCCTCCCCTTCCCAGCCCTCGATCAGCTGCCTGCCGGGGGCGGTGCAAGCTTTCTGCTGTCGGTGCTGTTATTTGAGGTCTAGGATGGAGCTAATTTTATACCATCACACCCTAGGTAAACCACAGCAGTAGCCAATCTGGTAAGTGATGTTTAAAAAGCACAGGCCCTGTTCCCACTACAGTTACTCAAGGAGCAGTACAGAGCTCAGATGATGCCCGTCGTCAATGCAGATGTAGTCGCAATCAGGATTTGGCCTGTCCTTCCTGAAAACATGGAACCCCAGGCCAGTTCACCAGGACAGCAGCGTTTGGGCAGAGCCGGGTGGGTTTGAGGCTGCGAAAGATTTGTGTAGAGAGTAGCAAGGTTTGTATCTGATGTTCCCTCATAGCTCCAGGAGGTTTCCCACAGGAGATCCCCACGGGTGTGCATCCCCCACACACCCCCATGCTGATGTAGGGGCAGGATGGGAGCGGCAGCGAGCGGCTTTTTCCCAGCGCCTCCATGAGCTCTCCTTGTGATCCTGCTGCAGGGGTTTATTCTCAGTCAGAGACGCCTGGGTGCACATCGACGATGCGCATCAATTGCTGACTTAGGCAAGCTCCAGCCCTCGGTCGGCCGCTCCGGGAGGACGAGACAGATCCGAGCGCATCCAGACTTGGCGGCAGATCAAAGGCAGGTGCTGACACTGGTTCCGGCTGTTCCTTCCATGCCTGTCCTTGCCTGCGGCAATTAATGTATATTTTTTTGCTGCATGGGAACTCGGCTCTCGGGAGCAAAAGCAACGCTCTGGTGAGCTGCTTTAAGGAGGGATGATGCAGCCCTGGAGTTGGTGAAAAGCGATGACACTGTCACCGGCAGGGATGCAGCCCCACATCTCCTGGGGGCTGTGACCAGGATGAGAGCCCTTGTGACAAGGCTGTGGCACAGAGCCATGGAGATGGGTGGAGGCAGCCCTTTTCCTCCCTGCCTAGGTGTGGCACGGCACGTACCTGTCCTGATGCCTGATCAGGGATGACACTGAGCTAAGGAAGCTGATGAGGGAGGATGCCGTCTCCTGTCAGTGCATTTCCACCCAGCCCATTTCCTTCCCAGTAGAAACCAGCATTTGGCACCTTCCCCGTTCTGGCTCTGCTTGCGGATCGCATGGAGCAACGAGCAGCTTTGCCAGGGTCACTGCGGGAGGCTGCAGTGATTTGTACCATGGCCTCGACGCGCCTTGGTGAAAGACAGAGCCCCAGCCTCCAGCGCAGTACGTTGGGAAGGTCTCACTCCACCAGGAAACCCGTGCCGAGTGGAGGGATCCTGTGTCCAAGTGGACCGGACAGGATGGCACAGGGCCAGACAGGGACCCAAAATCTGCATGGGAACTGCATGGGGCTGTAGGGGCCACGGCACTGCTCAGGACCACCCTGCTGCATCCCAGTGCAATGGGAAGGAGGAGGAGAGGTAATGAATTTGACCCACCACGGCCATCACCACGAGGGCTGCAGCCACCCGTGCCCTCCCTGTGCGTCGGCGAGGCTGCGTGGGAGCGGGGCATGGGGCCACCCAGTCACCCTCAGGGGCACACAGAGCCACTTTGTCCCGGGGGAAGCCATGCCGCTCCACTGGCACCCGCAGAAACGGCCTCTCTCGCAGCCAGGCACAATGAAAAATAACTGTAAAAAAGAAACACTGTAAAAACTAGGGGGAGGGAAGAGCTGTTTGAGCAAACGCTGAAAGCCGCACAAGTAGGAAATAGATTGTAATCTCCCTAACGAACTGCAGTTAATCAGCATGAGCAACTGTGAACAGGGGTTTGATGCAGGGCTCGCTACCAGTGCCTGTTTCCAGAGGGGACCCATATGTGATCTGGGGCTCTGTGCCCTGTACAATAAAGACTCCAAAGTCACAGGTGAATGAGACTGTATTTAAACAGAGGTGCTTGGAAAAACTAACTCCAATGCTGGCGTGGGTTGGGTTTGTATTTTTTTGCTCACAGGTTTGTCAGCAGACTTGGCTTTTGTTCTCAGTTCTTCAGGGAGCAAATTAGCTGGAGGAGACAGGCCAGGCCAGTGTTACTGAAGAGAGCTGTCACGTCCACCGGCTCCCGGTTCGGATGGAGCTATTGCTTTCTGCGGGCCTTGGACCAGATCCTGAGCCAGGACTCCTGATACAGGGAGTCCTGCAGTCCAAGGGCAAAGACCTAAACAAAGCCCAGGGCACCATTACCTTCCTATACAAGCACTTAATTATATAGAGGTGCTGGCCCTCCGAGACATTACCCCTGTGCCAGCCCTGCCACCCAGAGGGGAGTTCATTGTCTCTAGGCAGTCCACCAGCATCTGTGTCCCTCTTGGCTCTCTACAGACGAACCCAAAATCCACTGGTGGAGCCTCTTTCCACAGGTAGTGTCTGATTTCTTTTAACAGGCTCTTTTCTACAGTGGGAATCAAAACCCTGTGTTGCCGAGGAGGGAGGTCTGGTGTTTGCAAGGCCACAGATGTGCGGGGAAGGAGGTCTGCAGGCCAGCAGCTCCAAAATTTTTTTGGCTTGTTGGTTTCTGCTAACATCTACGTGACTCCAGTGACTAACAACCACCTTCAGGGAATGCACGTGTTAGTTAGGAACACCCTGGCCTTTCTGCGGGGGCGACGAGAAGGCACCACTCAGTCTGCCAAGGCTTCCCTGGCAGCCACAGTTTCAGGGCCACGTACCCGGGGGCACAGCGGGCGATGCAGAAAGGTCACTGGTAGAAACCAAGGGGGAACTGCAGCCCTGGGCCACGTGGTTCAGACCCACCAGTGGCTTTTTTGGGTGGTTTTTTTTTTTAGGCAGGTGGAAACCAGAGTCTGAGGTGTTGAGTCCAGGTCTCACACCTGGGCAGCCCAGAGGAGATGGCTCCGCTGCCTTCTGCCCAACGTTGGGCTGTCTGAGCCTCCTGGCACGTCATGGCTGCAGCCCTTCCCTGAAGAAAATGGGAGCTTCTCTGCCTTATACGTAGTCACCTATAGGCTCTGTGCTGGTCCCCACGTGTCTCCATCCAGAGATGGCTGTATTGACTGTGTCCGCTCAGAGGGACCTGCTGGACCCCACAGTTCCCCGCTGGGCTCTGCCATCCCGCTAGGCTAGTTGGTGGGCTCTGTGGCAATGGTGTCCGCATCCGGAGACGGCGGCACGCCGCTGTTCCCTCCGTTGCTCAAGTTTTCCTTGCTGTTGTCCCTTGTGGTGTCGCTACCTTTATCCTCCACTTTCTGCTTGAGTTTGAGGGAGGAATCTCTCCGGGAGAGGAGGGTTTGGTAGCCAGCAAAACCTCCTCCACTCACATTCGTACGCTTGTCTGGGGATGGACAGAAAAAGAGGATTGTTTACCCGGGGTCCAAACTGACCTTTCAAGCTAAGGAAAGGGTTGCGAGGTCTCTCCTTGCCAGAGATGTTGGGGTATCTTCTCTGAAAGATGGGGGTCCTTCCAGCCCCCGGATGCCCCCAAAGAGGGGAAGATGGGTGGGAGACTGAGCTCATGCCCCAGCGTGGCTGTGCTCAGGAGGGGCAGGGGAGGGTGTGATGGCTGGTCTCCTACCTCCCGGCCCGATGGGGTGCATCAGTCGGTTCATCTGGACGTTCCAGTGCTTGACGTTGGTGCTGGCCTGTCGCAGCTTCCGCTGGGCCGCCTGGCAGGGGATGGAGGAGAGGGGTGAGCTGGCCGCCCGACAGCCCCCGACCTGGGACCGCGGGCAGGAGTTTCCCTTCCCTGAGTAAACCTGGATTGGAGGCTCGCTCTGGGATGGAGACCCAGCTCACCCCCCTCGAGGTCTTCTGCTCCTCCTCCGATCCTCCCCCCTCCACACGCTCCCACTGTCAACATTGCTCTGGACATCGGCGCTGTCCCTCCGGGGCAGGACACGCTTGTCGCATCTCAGCCACTGAATCAGCCCATGCCTGTGCATGGCACAGCTCAGAAAAGCCCCGAGTCAATGCCAGCTTGGTCCCCAAAGCTGCCGGGTCCTCCCCAGTGTGGAGGTGACTCAGGGAGGGCTGGGAAGTCCCCTGGGGTTTGCAGCATGAAGGGATGTGGCACCGATGTGATGCTCACCATGACGTCTTGGTCCACCCGCTGCCTGTTCACTCTCACTTCTTCCAGCTGCTTCTGCGCCTCTTCCAGACACTTGTTCTTGTTCTCCATCTCCTGCTTGAGGACTTGCTTCTCCCGCTGAGTTTTGATAATATATTCCTCTTGCTCCTCCTTCAGCTTCATCAGCTGCTTCAATTTCTCCTCTTCCTCAGCCAGCAGCCTTTCAACAAAGAGCAAGAGGTGGGGATGTCCCTCTGCAACTTCATCCACCACCTTCCCCCATCCCTGCTTGCATACTGGGAAGTCACCAGTACACCCCCATAGCCCAGGGAGCACTGCATCACCCTGGGGAGCATGTCCCCACACCCAGCCGCTGCCCTGGGAGCGGGGCTGGTCGAGGAGAAGCAGGGATGCCCTGGTCCTACCTGGCCTGTGCGTATCTCACAGACTCCTCGTCCTGCCGAGCTTTCACCTCCTGCTGCAGGGCCTCCTGGAGACGCTCCTGCATGTCCTCCAGCTCCAGGATGCGCTTACGCTGACGCTCTGCCTCTGCCTCCTTCAGAACCATCTCTGCCTGCATGGAGGCACGAGCCTGCAGCGGGGAGAGGAGTCATCAGCATGGGCAGCTGGCAGAGCCACCGCTGCCGTCCCCAGCACCCCCTTACCCCCAGGTGGATGGGCCCAGACATCTCCCACACCAGGGAGAGCCCATGGAGAGAGGTCCAAAGCAAGGGTTTTTCCCTGCTCAGGAGACATAAGACGTCATTTGGAGTCAGTGCTGGCTGCAAGGTCAGAAATGGGCTCCCTGGCCATCCCGGCACTAGCACTCGCGGCTCACCTGCTCCCCAGCTTCATGCACCCCGGGACAGGTTGTCCTCATCTCCTGCTCCTCGGGTATCTCACGCATGGCCGTGCTGACCCCTCCATCCCTCGTCCCCGGGTCACACACAGCCCCCAGGAGCCCGGAGGTGATGGGTGGCAGCAGTATTATTGCAGGAGCGGGACCAAACTCCTCCAAACCCCGTGGGCTGCCAGGGGCAAGGAATCACCCACCCCATGAGCGACAAAGCCCCGTGGCTGGACACGCCATGAGGATGCACCCA